GTCTGCTGTTTGCTGTTTCACATAACACTGATCCACAGGCCTAACCTTACTACATATCCTAGCCTGCCAGTAACATGCAATGCTGGACTAACAGGCTTAGATTTTGGTCATTTTCTATGTTTTTAGATTTTGGTCATTTTCTATGTTTCAATGGATGATGGAGCCAGACTGCCTCGGGGACTTCCAGCCATTTAAAATCAATAGCTCTTCTCCTTTGTTTTGAAAGAGTATTATTCTCTAAATATTTTATATCTGTCTTAGTCCCCACTAGCAGTTTAAAAGTGCCTTGGCATCCATGGATTTGACAGTCACACATTTAATATTAGTTGTTTCCGCTTTTCTTTGATTAGCCCAATGGTACCTAATGCATAGAAGGCTGTCATTTCCTGGGGCACACATTTTCATTGTGCAGGGCCAAGCTGATATGTGGGAGCAAGTAGCACAGCCACCAAGCAAAGTGGGCGACTGTCCAGCACTCACATCCCCCTGTGATGTTGTTGTCTGCCACCTGCTGATACACATCCAGCATTTCAGCTGAAACGTCTTCTTAATTATATATCTTTGTGGGGACAATCAGCCACTAAGTGAGAGAGAAAATTGTAATGATAGTTGAAATGACCTGTGACATGAAGTATGCAAACAAGAATGCGTGAAGGAAACATGATCCCTGAGAAAAGCAGGACCCTGCATCAATGTCTCTGTTTGTGCACAATTAAGTATTAAAGACAACCTTAGGACAGGCCTGCTAAACACCAAGGGCCCACTGCACTGTGTTGCATAGATCCATTAAGTTCTTGCTTATTTGGGGTGGAGGTTATGAAAGCTGTAAATATTTAGATTCATTTCCATTATGGAGGAACTAAGGCTGCAGAAAATTCGCCTGCAAAATTAGTAGTTTTTACCACAACTTCTCTTGGTTACCCATTTATGGAGCTCTCGCTAAATGCCGAGTAAGTATTATATCCCAGACATATTGTATACATTCTATCATTTAATCCTCAAAATAAGTCCACCAGATTTGTGTTATTATCTCCAATTACAGATAAAGAAACAAAGTCTCAAATAAGTATCTCTCTGATGCCACCTAGCCAATACGGAGCAGGGTGGGAATTTGAGCTATTCTAACCAGGACACCTCAGGGCCTCCCTCTGACACACTAAATGTGCCTCTTTAAACTACATTCCTACTTACTTATGGAAAAGGAATATGCAATGGGGATTCTGTTTTATCTCTGGGTCCAATAGGACTTGAATAAAATGTGGTGCTTCTTAAGAACAATGTCAAGGTTGAGGTGGGAGGATCACTTGAAACCAGGAGATCAAGATCAGCCTCAGTAACATAAAGAGACTCTGTCTCTAAAAAATAAAAAAACAAAAACTTAGCTGGGCATGGTGGCTTGTACCTATACTCCCAGCTATTCCAGAGCCTGAGGCAGTAGGATCGCTTGAGCCTGGGCGTTTGAGGCTGCAGTGAGTTATGATCCCACCACTGCACTCCAGGCTGGGCAACAGAGTAAGACCCCATCTGTAAAAAAAAATTAATGTAAAATTTGTCCTGTGAAGGCTCAGCTTTGCAACAAACCTACAGAATTAACTAGGCAACAATGAATGGTTGGGAATAAGCACCTGTCCTGCGTGCTCAGTATCACACGCTGAGCAAAGTCGTTTATGTTACCTATTCCATTAGAGAACTGCACCCAACCATTGGCTCTCAAGACAGATATTTAGAATTATAGATCTGAGAACAATTTTAGAGTGGCATTAGACAGCCACTTCATCTTATGAATGAGAAAACTCAGGGACAGAAATATCAAGGAGTATCTCCAAGGCATGGTAGTTAGGGTTAGTTAGATTGCTTGTGAAAGAGCTGAGACTAGAATTCAGGACTCCTGGCTCACAACCAGGGTTTAGCCCGCAATACCATATTGATAGCTGTGAAAAGTAGTCTTTTGCTTTGTTCTACTTCTGACATTTTCATAAAATCTGCATATCAAATTCACAACTAATTGCTTAATCCTCTTTGCTTGAGTGAGCAAGCTTCTACCAGGGCTCGTTTACGATCTCGCAAAACGGCAGGTGTAAACTAATATAAGTTGCTTGCACTATTGAAAACGAGATATTTGCAGAAGAAAAAGAAATTTATTATAAAGCTCTGAAAAGAAGCACACGCCTATAGCACACAGAGTGAGTCAGAGGGTGTGGTGAGGGAACAGAAACAGAAAACTGATAATCACTCAACAAGCCAAACAAAGCAAATGCCGCAGAATCTCCATTCTTCTTGCTCAGGGACAAAAGCTAAGAAGGGATCTGGTGCTTCGAGGCTGGGATTTCATCCCCTGCAAGGAAGAGGTCAGAAGGAGAAGAACTAAACGCACAGTGCTGAGAACACTGCGTTTGCACTCGGCTGCCCTGCCCTGCCCTCCACCCGCCGGCCCTCCTCTGGGTTAGGCCTGGGCTGTGTCTGGTCTGTATCACTGCAGGAGCCTCGGAAATGGCCTGCCTGGCCCCGTCATTGGCTGCAGCCAGGAATCTGTCACATTAATGCTGACTTGACAGGTCAAGCCTGGCAGCAATACTTCTCTGTATCTTACAGGCAAAGTCCAAGCTCCTTAGCTGCACCCAACATCTGCAGGAATGCAGGCCTCCGTTCCGCCTGGCCTGCTGGTCTACCATTTTCCTGTCCCTGAGTCCCCATTCTACTCATGGGTCTTCCGGGTCTGCCCCAGGTGTGCATAATGCATTAACTACCGCTATTACTTTCTTTCTTTTTTTTTTTTTTGTTTGTGAAATGCACATTTTTTTTCTTTTATTTCATCATATTATGGAGGTACACATATTGTTAGGGTCACAAATATTGCCCCTGCCCCCCACATGTGTCCAATCCCCCGGTGGTATACATCACACACGTTATGAAAGCATACACACCCCTTTCCTCCTCCCCCTCCTGCCTGCCCACCGCCCAATAAAAAGTTTATTTTTTGTTTTGTTTTGTTTTGTTGAGATTTTGGTTACATTGTATATCTTTGCCTCTCCCTAAGAAGGGTTAGAGTTAATGCCCTTCCCCTCCAAAATACTCCCCACATCCCTAAGATTAGGTCCCTCCTCCCCCGAATCCCTGGTGAGCATTGCCACCATTTGAAAACCATAGTTTTAATCAGTCAGTACCAATTTGATGGCGAGTAGATGTGGAGCCCATTTTCCATGTCTTGTGTCGCCTCGCTTTGGATAACAGGCTTAAGCTTAATCCAGGATAGCATAAACGGTGCTAGCTCCCCGTCATTTCTTAGGATTGAGTAATATTCCGTTGTGAGCATATACCACATTTTAATTATCCACTCATGAATTGATGAGCACTTGGGTTGTTTCCATGACTGTGCAATAGTGAATTGTGCTGCTATAAACATTCGGGTGCAGATGTCTTTATAATAAAATGTCTTGTGCTCTTTTGGGCAGATTCCCAACAATGCTATTGCAGGGTTGAATGGTATTTCTATTTCTAGCTGTTCGAGGTATCTCCAAATTCTTTTCCACAAAGGTTGCACTAATTTGCAGTCCCACCAGCAGTGCAGGAGTGTTCCTGTCTCTCCGCATCCTCGCCAGCATTTGTTGTTTTGGGGTTTCTTGATATTACTTTCTTTGAAATTCCCATTCCTTCCTTCCCCTCTTCTCCATGTTTCTATGCCTCTCCCTGGCCTTCAGGCCCAGCTCGGCGCCCTCCACGAAGCCCTCCTTGAGTATCCCCGCACCAACGCCAGCGACGCTGTTCTCGGGCTGCGGCCGCTGGTGGAGGTGGGTGAGACTCATAGACCAGGCACATGCTACCTGTTTCCTCGTGGACTATTTCATTACGTCTACACAACAACCCTGTGTGGTAGGTGTTGATATCTTGGTGGCAAGTGATGGGAACCCCAACTCAAAGTGGATTAACACACGAAGAAGTTACTTTTTCACTGAAATAAAAAGTCTAAGGAAAGACACAGCCCCAGTGATGCACCAGGGTCAAGTCTTTCTTCATCTCTTGGCTCAGCTTCTGCAGAGTGGCTCCTTGCTATCCTCAGGAGGAGGCTCAGAAACTTCAGGCTGTCATCTCTCACACCCAGGCAGCACAAGGCAGCCACACTCATTCCCAGACTTCTTAGCCGGCCTCTCATGCTGTCTCCATGGCTATGAGTAGGTCATCTGGCCATCTCTGAGTCAATCATTGTGACCAGGGGAATGGGATCGGTGACTAGTTTTGCCCAGTTTTGTGTGTCCTGTCCTTGCCACTCCTCAAGGCAGCCAGGCCAGGGCTGGGCACAGTGGCTGACACTTGTAATCCCAGTACTTTGGGAGGCCGAGGTGGGAGGATCACTTGAGGCCAGGAGTTCGAAACTGGCCTGGGCAACATAGTTAGACTCCATCTCTACAAAAAACAAAACAGTTACCCAGGCACAGTGGCGCACATCTGTAGTCTTAGCTGCTCAGGAGGCTGAGGCAGGAGGGTCCCTTAAGCCCAGGAGTTGGAGGTTGCAGTGAGCTATGATCCGCCACTGTACTCTAGTCCGGGCAACAGAGTAAGACCCCTTCTTAAAAAAAAAAACCTCCAAGCCAAAGTAGGTGAAGAAGTGGTTCTGTAATGGCAGATAGAATTGCTGGAAATCCAAAAACCACAAGTCATGTAGGAGTCCATGAAACATTTTGACAGTGAAGGAATTTCTGCACACTAAAAATAAAATGGGCCCTGCTTATTTAGACAGCATGGGGAACATCTTTAATAATAAGTTTGAATGAGAGAGCCAATTGGAGGTTGGCCACCAGCAAGGATTTTCCACATCTGTCTTCAGTTGGACTGGATGAGGAAACATGAACTCGATTTCCACGTCAACTCTCAAAGTGTCATCTAAAACCTTCTAAAATAGGATATTTTATTGTGGGAACCAATGCAAAAATGGACTTACAATTTGGTCACTTTCTTTAAAGAAATCTCTGACTAGTAATCTGAGTGGGATATTTTTTATTAGTTCCAATCTACTCCGATATGGTGGTATCAGAGTCCTGCCGAGTGCATATTCTCACGTAGGGCCAGGGCGATTACAAAGCATATTTGCATGCCTTGGGCTTTGCTAGTGACCCTTGCCACGAGTGGCAGTTGTTCCTTCTTGTGTGTACTTGAGCTCCCCTCACTCGGCACTTTTACAGTTCTTGGGTTAGTTTTTGTCACGCTGCACAATTTCTCATCTCTCCTTTGCAAATTGCCCTTCAAAATCAATTGTAAATTGACCTATACAAGAAAGCACACAAATAACTTCATAAGTTCATGGCCTAGCATATTCACTCAGCATCCCTTTGAAATATTGCAGAAATGCAAAAGCTGTTTTCTATATCATTATTGTAATGCTAATAGCACAGCGTCAGGCACTGGACTAAGCCCTATATATTATTTTTCTTATCTTTTTCCTACAGGTGCTCTCTGAGGTATGTACTTAACTTGGCTCCTCCTAGCAGATAGAGGAACTGAGGTTTGGAGAGATTACGTCAGTTACCCAAGGCCACCTGGCTGAGATCCAAACCCAGAGTATATGCCTTCTGGCTCCTTAACAAACATTCTAACAACTGTGTTACTGACATCTAAGCAGGCTTTCAAGACAGTGAATGTGCACTAAAACAAGAACATCAATGGAATGGTGAGGATAATGGGAAGGAAAGTGGCACTTTGATTATTCATGCATTGGCACAGTGAGGCATGTTTCCCCCAATCTCAGGAGAATCTGGTACTTCATACTTTCAGACTGAGTTAACTGCAAATATTTAGTTAGTTACTTGCAAGGGTATCACATTCTCAAAGTGGCAAGATCATGGAAGCCTGGCTCCTTTTCAGTCTTTGCCTTCTGCAGCCCATGCAATGAATGCCAAACCTCCCTTCTCCCCTCCCACCCCCAGCTTGGAGGAGGTGAAATCTGCAGATATTGCCATAAAAGGCAGGAATGTTTATTTCTTACCTTAAGTGGCCACTGCCTCTTCTCCCTACACCCAACTGAAGCACCAAATTCAGACCACCAAGTGGAGGGGGTGTAAGTAAAGATGCCAGAGCTTGTCCCACCTGGGCCTGTGTTTCATGGAGAAAGAAGGTAGCATCAGAAAGGACCCTCAGGGTCATCTGGGGGACCCTCTTGCTCAGTGCAGGACATGCCCCTTGCCCAGCATCCTAACAGGTAGTGAGTGATACCCTTGACCTGCATCCTCCTTGGGGCAGACAGCTCGCTGTCTTGGAGAATTAATCTGCAACATAAAAAGTTCTCATGTCCCATGACTGGCTTCTGCCTCAGGATTATCAGATTAAAAAACAACAAGGACAGGTGACTTCCCTCAGATTTGTTAGTGCCCCTCAGCTGTGCTCTCACTTACCTATCCCTGCAATGCAGGGCGGGTAAGGCACCGTGGACAGTTAAAAGGTAACCGGGTGTGGTTTGTTTATCTCTGGCATTCACAGGCCGGGCAGCTGGTCCATTAGCCTGCTCTGTGGACACAGCCCTCAAAGCCTCTTAGTTTACACAGAAAAAGACAGTCTCTCTTTTGCCTTCTCAGCATGTGAAACGGAAATCAATCCTTCCTTTTTCTACTAGACTATTAACACGCTTCCCCTTCCCTGCCCCTTGTCACTCTTATTCCGTCCTTGCCGCCCACCACTCTGTCTCCCCTCAGGGACCTGTCCCCTTTGCTCCTCTTTTGCTCTCCCTTCCCTCTCTTCTTGTGTCTCTCTTCTTCCCTCTTTGCACCTGTCTCTGTCCATGGACGAGACTCCACATTACTTAGCCTGCCGGTCTAGACGGAACGTGTGCCTTGGTGACAGCGTAACGGCAGTCCAACAATTCATTCCAAAGTGACTGGGCTTAAGCCAGGAGGAGTGGAGTCCACAGAGTGGGTCACCAGCGCTTAGGTGAGCGTTGAAGAGACGGCGTGGTGGTAAATTCCGGGATGCTTCCAGATGGATGGAAGCATCTGGACGGATGGAGGATTCCCCCAAGTTAGTGCCACCTAGTGGTCGGCTAGAGTAATGTCCGCAGCTCAGGCCAGCAGCAGCCGCAGCCAGGGGCAGGTGACGTTCTGTGCTGTAAACGTCCTGTTCTCCCACGGCACACAGGCCTGTGCCCTGCGAAGTGCTGTGCCATTGCCTTGTTTAGTCCTCACGCATTATAATCTCTCTGAGTGGGTCACCCAGGGGTCAAGGAGTGTATGGGGTTGGGATTCTGACGCTCACGCGACTGACTCCAAAGCTAGTGTTCTTTCCACGACACACACGGAGGAAACCAGAAGGCTGCATAGATGCAGTTTCCGCAGTTTGGACACCAGAATCTAGTAGGGGTAATATTTAATTTTTCATGATTTTGAGTAGGCGCTAAGATGTTCAGAAAGGGTATAAGACGAAGATTTCACAAATTTAAGGTTGTACAATAACACACATTTTAGACAGATGGCTTTCCATTTCCATAGCTAAAATCAAAAGAATTCATAAAATCCACTTCTATTTATTAATGAAAATGGAGTTTCCCTAATTCTTTGTTTTTTAAGTTGAAAGAAGTGTTGGCATTTCTGGTTTCAGAATTGTGTTCAGCTCTTGTTGCCATCAACAATGCAAAGAAAATGCCACCTCCACCCTCATGGTTTTTGGGACTTATTAAGTTCAATTAAATGTCAACATTTACCATAAAATAACCAATCAAAAAAAAAAAGAGAGAGAGATAGGCTGCTTTTGATGAAATAGCATTGAACTTTATTAAAGTTAAACAGCAGAAGTCTCTCATGTTAATCCGCACAACCAAAACTAGAGGCCCCCTCAGAAGACGCTAAGTCAGATGTCGTGGGGGAGTGCAGCGGTCTTTGAGCTCAAGGTGAGATTCATTGGTGCATAGGGCTGGTCTGTGTACAAGAAAGAGGTTGAGAATTGACTCTGTAAACTCTCTAGCTGTCATCATGGGCCCGTCTCTCTGTGATCATGGGGAGAAACGGCAGCCAGCGAGGCCCTGGGAGACGCAGAGATGGCTCTTTCTCCCACGCAGCGTCACGGCAGCCCTGCTGGGCCCTCAGGTGCATACTTACAACTGCCCCCTTTCCTAGCAGAGGAGCAGAGAGCTCCCACTCACTGTGTGGTGTTAATGGCGTGAGCCCAGGACCCAGCACTTGGCTTTACCAGGTAGGGAGCTTCATCTGTTGGTCGAGTGAAAAATTCCTTGCAGATGGGCTTCTTTGGGGCTCGAGTTGTCTGGGACTCCTTACCTGGGTGAAGAGAAGGGTCACTTCTCTCTTACCAAAGCAGAAAACATGTTGGCATGTAATAAAATGGAGGTTACTGGTAACTTCCTTTTTTCTAAATCCCAGAGAGATTCAGTCCTGATTTAATAATGATCCCGTAATGCCTCATTAACTATGATACTTGAAACAAAGCTCTCCAGTTTCTCACGAGAGCATGAGAGAGAGAGAGAGAAATTAAGACAGAAAGGTTAATAAAAAGAGAAACAAACAGGGAGACAGAAACAGAGATGGGAAAAAAATCCAAATACAATAATCCAGGGGACTCATGAGGTCCAAACAATGTCTTTTGCAGGAAGGAGCGTAAAGAAAATGTCTTGCACCTTCTAGGCAGCGAGCGATCGCTGTGTTCGTGTTGATGATTCATCGAGACGGGCTCATCTACCTGGACACCTGGCGCACCAGCAGCTGATTGGGAAGCCCTTGGGCAAGTCTTGGGTAAACCCTCCGTGTAAGGCAACAGCAGAGAGAGAAAGAGAAAGAAGGGAAGACAGACTAGAGAGAGGTGGGAGAGACAGGTAGAAAGGAGAGGGAAAGAGGGGGAGAGTGGTAGGTTGGGGGAAGAAAAAAGCAAGGGGAAAGCAGAGAAAAAGAAAGGAAGATGTATAAGGGAAAGTGAGGAAGGGAAAGAGAGAGCAGAAAGACAGGGCTTGCTGAGAAAGAAGACAAAAGGGAAAGAAGCAAAGAAAACCAAGAAGCCCCTGCCATCCGTCTTGCCAGCCATCTCCCCGAGCAGTCATGGAGAGACAGAGACCGTCTCCCAGAGGACACTGGCAGGGCCCGGGTGCCCTTGTTTTGTAGTAATGAAGTCACGGTGGCTGGGAGTCTCTGCTCTGGACCTCTGGGCTGCTTTCTGGTTTCACGTCCTGGCTACTGGGGGCCTCTGGGAGCAGGCATGTTGCCCGACACCAGCTGTCACGGCCTTGCTTCACTCTCTGTGCATCTGTCACGCCCTCCTAGGTGACAGGACGGACCGTCTGTGGGAAGGCGGAGAGAAATCCCTCGGGAAGGCAGGCGCGGGAGTTGGGTTTCCAGCTAAACTGTCCACGTTGTGAGAACCTCGGTGGGAGTGTTGGGTGTCCAGCCCTCTGGAGGACAGCAAAGGGGGACATACAATTGCGAGGCGGACCAAAGGGAAGCTTCTGAGCTTTGCCCTCTCCATGTCTCCGTCTGCTTCCAATCAATAAGAACTCTTTTCCCCCTTCCCTTTGCTTTGTCAAAATTCAGGACAGACGCTGTTCAGTGGTGATTTTCGTGAATACAGGAACTTTTTTCTTCTTTCTTCCCATCCCCCACCCTGCCAATAATTTACAAGGATGTTTGGCTCATGTCTCTTTTTATTTATTTATTTATTTTTTTGAGACAGAGTCTCACTTTGTTGTCCAGGCTAGAGTGAGTGCTGTGGCGTCAGCCTAGCTCACAGCAACCTCAAACTCCTGGGCTCAAGCAATCCTTCTGCCTCAGCCTCCCGAGTAGCTGGGACCACAGGCATGCACCACCATGCCCGGCTAATTTTTTCTATATATATTAGTTGGCCAATTAGTTTCTTTCTATTTATAGTAGCGACGGGGTCTCGCTCTTGCTCAGGCTGGTTTCGAACTCCTGACCTCAAGCAATCCGCCCACCTCAGCCTCCCAGAGAGCTAGGATTACAGGCGTGAGCCACCGCGCCTGGCCGGCTCATGTCTCTTAAAAGTTTATTAGAAACCCAAAGTTGCCTGTGAATCAGAGAAGACAAAAGACATTAGAAAAGAGAGAAGTGAAAAAAGAAAAGACAGAGATTTTTGCAAAGAGTCGGAAGACACAGAGCGCATTTCAGGTACCAGCTTTACCCACATAGAAAATAAAGCAAGGACCAAGTTTTTCCCATCTCTGTCTCTTTTGTGCACTAAATCTCAAGCAACTGTCCCGTCAGAATCCTAAAATTTTCAATCTGGAAAGATCCTCAGAGATCACCTATCCACCTTAAGCTTTTCATTTTTAGGACATTAAAAATGAGGCCGGTGAACTGAATCCCTTGTCCCAGACTGAGTAGCTTTGCATGATGTTGGCCGTTGTGGGACGCTCCTCAGGTTGCACGGGCCTGGGCGGCTGAATGGGTCGGTGTGGCGGTGACAATGGGGTTGAATTTCTGCAGAGACCACTTTCTGCATTCGATATAGGCAGAAGGGAGAAGGGAGGGGATGGTCTATTCACACGGGCTTTTTTTTTTTACTTAATAGCAGAACAGTGTGGGAATCTGCCTGCACTTTCTTAGTTCCGCCATATTATTCTACCCAACGCTGTGTCCGGTGCAAAAAGGAAAGAGGTGGTATCCCGTAGTTTGTAGATCCCTATTAGCACCACTTTCCCCATGCTTTCATCATTTCACCTTGGGGAAGTTTCCCAACATTTCTGGCCTCAGTTTCCCCATCTGTAAATTGAGGCCTTTGGAATTCCTATTTGGGCAGTACTTCTTTGAATTCACATTATTCCAGGACAGAGCATTGTAATTGTTACATAAATATTAAACATTTAATCTTGATGCCAGCTCCTTTTACTAGACACTGTTCCGAGGCCTGTTTTCATTTCCTGTGATCAATGCAAGCTTGTCAAATGAAGGAGTTAATGAATTTTAAAATTCCTAAGGCCAAGTCATTCCAGATTACACTCTATTGTTTGTTTGCTTTCGGTGACCTTAAATGCAACTCATATTCTGCTTTAAGTGTTTTCTCACAGAGAAATTTGGTATAGGACAAAAATTCTTCCAAAATGAGAAGGGGGTAGAGTTTAGTCAGCCTCTATCAGCCCTTGTCTCTCAGGGTGGATAAGCCAAAGTCATGACAATGGCCTAGAAGGACACAGGGGATCTACAATGCCCCCACCCTGACCTCACCTCTTCCCCTCCACTCCTTCTTCCACTAATGCAGCTCAAGTCACTCTGGCTCCTGGCTCTTCCTTGGACACACCAGGCAGGCTTCCACCCCAGGGCCTTTGCACTTGCTGTCCCCTCAGCCTGGAATTCTAGTTCCTGTTTCCTCTTCTGCTTCCCCTTCCTATGTCACCATGGGCACAATGCCTCCCACAAACATCAGAGTTACAATGGCTCCGCCTTACTCCTGCCCCCAGCAGTTTGTCTGCAGCTGCAGACCTCACCTCCCTCTGATATGCTATAGAATCTACTCATTTATTTTGTCCATTGTCTGTCCCCTCCTCCACTATGATGTAAGTTCCATGAGGGCAGAGAATGTTGTCTATATTTTTTACTGCCATTTCCATAGCACCCAGGACAGTAGACACTCAACACATGTTTGTTAAATTAATAAATCTTGTAAGTATACACTGCTTTATTTCTCACTCAGATCCTTTGAGAATCAGGTAAAGGAAGAAAGAAAAAAGAAATGGAAGAAGGAAGGGAGGGAGGAAAGAAGGAAGGATTGTGCTTATTAAATAGTTGGCCGGTGCTGGTTTTAAGTGCTTTACATGTGTTCATTCATTTCCTCCTTAAGATAGTGTGTGAATTAAGGTCTATGATTTACTTCTGTTTGGTGCTTTCCTCTGAACTCTGGTGGCCTCTGGGCCTTTTCTCTTCTTTAACTATACTCACTTCCTAGGGAATTTCATCCAGTCTGTGGCCTCAAATGTCATCTACACCCTGGTGGTTCCCAGATGTATCTCGAACATAACATGTCTAAATCAAACCCTTGAACTGTACCCCCCATCTCTAAATTGTCTCCCTCTCAGAGAAGGGAAACTCCATTCTTTGGTTATGCAGGCTGAAGACGTGGGAGTCGTCTTTGATTCCTCTCTTCTCTGTCCTCACGCCTAGGATGGTCGGATTTAGCAAACAAAAATACAAGACATGCTATATTTTACCTGGCATGTCTATCCACATCCAAAGAACCAGAAAGCTCTATGTGTCTCCACAGTACAACCCACATTCAACTGCTTTCCACCACTACCGCCTGTGCCACCTCGCTCCACCCTGGGATTCTTGCAAGCTCCTCCCAGCAGGTATCTTAGCTCTTACCTCTATCCTTGATGTCTGTCTTCTGACATCACCTGGAGCAATCCTTTTAAAAGGAAAATTAAATCACATTGCTTCTCTGCTCATAACCCTCCGGTAGCCTCCCACGTGCCTAAGTTAAAATTCAAAGTCCTTCTTTCCACAACCTACACAGCCATCACAATTGTCCCACCTCCCTCTTCCTCGCCGATTTCATCTCCTGCCCCCGTCTGCACTCACTCTGCCTCAGCTGCGCCGGCCTCCTTGCCGTTTCCTGAATACACCTGTCACCCCCTACCTTAGGCCGTTTACACCAACTTCGCTGTTTCCACTGCCTGAAACCCTCTGTCCCCGACATCGTTATGGTTCTTGCTCTCATTTCACTCAAGGCTCTACTCCAATGTCACCTTCCCTGACCATCCTCTTTAAGATAGTTCTCCACCAGTCATTCTCTTTCTTCCTATCTTATTTTAAAATTTTTTATACTTTGTACTTATCATCCCAATAGATGAGGTCTATCCAGAAAGTATCCAGCCATGTGATATGAGAAAATAGCTTTATTTATTGACGATGATACAAGAAACGTTGTACATAGGACAATGCCGCCTCAGTCCCCTTCAAAGCAGGCACCTTGGGACCTCACACAGTCCTCCCAGCGTCTCTTAACCTCACCTGCACACACATTCAACATTCTGAGGTGTTCTGCTCATTGCAGGCCTTCCAGAATGTGAATCATTTTCAACAGATCCTTGACCATCTTTGAAGTGTTTGTGCCACGCTTTTATTTGTGCTGCGCTCGTTGCATTGTCACCAAAAGCCTTCTCAATCATCCGAATAGTTTCCATGGAGGAATGTTCAAGCTTAACACAAAATTTGGTGCAGATTGGTTGCTCTACTCAGTCGTTTTTGTTTGTTTGTTTGTTTCTTGTTTTATTAATTTGAGTGTCACCCTTGTGCAGGGGCCAATGCTAATCTTCGCTGTATCATTCCAATTTTAGTATATGTGCTGCCGAAGCGAGCACAGCTCAGTTGTTTTGAATGCAATGGTCACACGGTGCACATGTTCACTCAATGTCATCTAGCGCCCCACTGACTAGTACAGTGACATCGTCATTGTTCACTCATGCACATCCCAGTCCACTCTCCTTGGCTGCCAGGTTACCTCGATGTCATGCAAAACTGTCTGCATAACGATGCTTGCAGACTGTTGTAGTAACAATAGTTGGATACTTTCTGGACATACCTCGCATACTTATTTGTCTCCTGTCACAGAATATAACTGTTGTGAGATCAGGAATTTTGTGTTTTGCGCACTGTTGGACTCCAGATGCTCAATAAATATATGCTGAATGAGTGAGCACTCATTTACAGGTGGGAAAACTGAGGCAAGGAGAGGCTAAATTATCTTACCTACAGTTGGTGATACTCAGGGCTCTCTCCTCTGTCAAAGTATGTCTAATACAAGATCTCATTTGTTCTTTTCAACAAGTCTGAATCGAGGAAGACAGTCTTAACCCCATACAACAGATGAGGAACTGTGACCCAGAGGTTTAAGATTATCATCCTGAAAATAAATCCTAGGCTGTCCCACAAGTCTAAATTCCTCTTGTGTACTTTTTTCACTTTCTTCAATCCCCAAACCTATTTTTTAGGTCCTGTTTGTTTAAAACGATGTTCTCAAACCACCGCTTTCAGGTGTCAAAAATGAAGTTGCGTGAATCTAACACATTTGTACCATCAGAGGAGCCAGGTCCGTGCGTGTCCTTTTTGCCTTAAATAACCTGAAATCCTTTCTCCCTGTTCTGGGATACTTTAGGCTTCAGGTAATGAACAGATATTACTGGTGGAGAACTCCTTGGTAATGTTAGCACTTGCCTAGTGAAAGCAAAAACTGCTATCCAAAATGACATTCTAAGATTCCTTCCAGGTTAGTAAGTTCATGATCTATTTGCTGTTCATGTATTCATTCTATGAAATATTTATTATGTCTGCAAAGTGGAGTGAGCAACCATCACAGTTTGACCAGGAATGGGGGGGTCTTCTCTGGGATGTAAAACTTCTGGTGCTAAAAACCCAAGAAGTTTCAGGCAAACTGGAATGAGTTGATCATCCTAATAGGCTGGGTTGTTGTTGTTGTTGTTGTTGTTGTTGTTTAAGCTAGTGTATTAGGCTAAATAATGCCCCTCCAAAATGTCCACATTTTAATCCCTGAAACCTAAACCTGAAACCATTACCTTATATGGCAAAAGGGCCTGCGCAGATGTGATTAAATGAAAGATCCTGAGATGGGGAGATTGTCCTGCATTATCCTGGGCTCGGTGACGGCAGGGGTCCTTAGGGTGGAAGACAGAGAGGCGCTGTGATGACGGAAGCAGGGAGAGGGGAGGCCGTGTGGCCGTGGGGCACAGGTTGAGAGTGATGGGTTTTAAAGATGGAGGAAGAGGCCACAGGCCAAGGAAAATGGGCAGGCTCTAGAAGCTGGGAAAGGCAAGGAAACAGATTCTCCCCTGCTGCCTCCAGAGGGGATGGAGCCCTGCCAGCACCCCGAGTTTAGACTTCTGGCCTCTGGAAGTGTAAGGAAATTAATTCGTGATGTTAGCTAGCGACGTCGCATTGCCTCTCTCTGCCTCTTCTTCCATCATCATTTCTCTCTTATCACGGCTGGGAAAGGCTCTTTGCTTTTAAGAAAGGGTTCATGGGATTAGATTGGTCCCGAAAAATAATCCAGGATCATCTCCCTTATTTTAAGTCCATCCTCAAACTCAACTCCCCTTTGCCAGGTAACGTAAAGCAGTCACAGGCCTTGGCAATTAGAATGTAGACATCTCTGGGGGGCCGTTGTTACTGCTATGCCAGCAATCTCAAGCATAGGATTGATACAGGTAAAATGAAAATTTATGCTCACATGAAAACACACCTGTGAACATTTATAACATCTTTATGTGTTATTGCCAAAAACTGGAAACAACCCAAATGTAAATTCGTTGGTGAATAGATTTAAAACAAAAAAACTAGTACATCTCTACAGGGAATACTACTTAGCCAAAAAATGAATGAACTGGTGACACATGTAGCAACACGGATGGCTCTGAATGCATTATGCTGAGTGAAAGAAGCCAGACTCATGAGAGTATGGAATGTGTGGCTCCATTTATACGATCCTGAAGGAGACAAGATTATATAGACAGCACATAGATCAGTGGTTTCCAGGGCTGGGGACTGGGGTGGGGAGGGTGACTGCAAAGGGACTTGAGAGAACATGTAGGGATGATGGAAATGTTCTATGCATGGATTGTGTTACGGGTTCATGACTATGTTTGTCTAAACCCATAGAACTGTATAGTAAAATGGGTAAATTTTACTGTATGTAAATTAAACCTGTGTAACCCTGAGTTTTAAAAGGTGGGCAGCTGTGGGAAAGGAAGAAGCTATGGTTGAAAGGTGTTGTTAATATTTTGAAAAATTTGCTCCTGATTTACTCCAGTGGGGGTGTCTGTTGTCCTGGAGACAGACACATCCATCAGGTGACGTGTCCTCACTTATGTGACAGGAGGTAGGTGTGATCAGGGCTACATTGTGACTTTCATGGGCCTCTTCCTGCATTAAAAAAAAATAATAATAAAGATTATATTTATGGCTTTGTAGATACAAGCTTTTTCTTCTGATTAAAAAAAAATCAATTACCCAATTCTATTAAGTCAAAATAAAAAAAAAAAAATCAAAAATTTTTTGTAGGCCCCTAAAAGTGTCATGAACCTGAGGCACTGTGCCTAATAGAAAAGTTGGCCCTGCTGTGACCCAAGCCAACTGCAAGGGAAAATCAGGCTAATTATTTTCTACAGTGAATGACCAGGAGCAGGAATTATGCATTCAGTTTCCAGTGTTGTCATTGATTTTCCAAGAGTTTCAAATAAGCTAGCTAACCCCTCTGGGTCTCAGTTCACCAATTCGTGAAGAAGGAATGAAAATTCAACACTCACTTGAAACCTGTTTTTAGGGTCATCAATATTAAACATCCATTCAGCAAATATTTGTTCTGTACCAGGCATGGTGTGGTAGATGGGAAAATCCAAGATAAATTCCACACAGTCCCTAACCTGAATTCCCTTGAAAGAACACTCTATCATTAAAAATGCACAAAATAGGAGATCCTTGAAAAAGCACCTGCTTTTCCTTTGTCTGCTATCATAATCGATCCTTCAAATATTGATTATTCTGCATGTATGTATAATATATCATACACACACACACACATCTCTCCAGGGAGCGGCTTGTAACCACAAGGGTTTAATTACAAATATAAATTCCGGAGAAACAATGCATTTCTAGTGGGAGATTTCTATCAACAATTCAAGTGTGATTTCCTACAATGTTACATGGCCATAAACTGTGCATGAATGGTCTCTGAAAGTCACTTTTAAATTTTCTTTCACTCCACCCTTGGAGAACTGAATTGATGGTGGCGGTGGTAAGAATACAATATGGCGTGATTAACAGAAAACCCTCCACCGAGAGATATCTCCCCTGCTGGTCTCCCACCCATGCCTGATGGACTACTGAGAACCAGTCTTTTTTTTTTTTTTTGCAGCATATTACGGGGGTACAAATGTTTAGGTTACATATAATGCCTTTGCCCCGCCTGAGTCAGAGCTTCAAGCATGTCCATCCCCCAGATGGTGCACACTGCACCCATTAGGTGTGAATATACCCATCCCCACCTCTCCCCTCCCACCTGCTGGATACCC